CCCATTGTTCTTCTAGAAACTACTCGCAAATGTTTTATCAAAATCCTACTGCTCATTTATCAAGACTATATAAACAATACAAAATTCTTAAAGGTCCAAACTTTGCTGATTTATCAGGAAAAAGTATAGCAGAACCCATCTATCTGCTAAATAGTATATGTGAGGAAGCTAGAGAAAAAGGAAAAGAACTATGGATCCTCTTTCAAGACACAGTTAAGGCATATGACACAATATCCTTCTTCATGCTTGAAAAAGCTATAGATCAGATTCGAATCTCTATAACTATCAAGAAGATTATAATAGACCTTTTTAAAGACAGAAATTGTAGTATTATTCTTCCTACTAGACTTTCTAGCCTAATAGTTGCAGAAGATAGTATAGATCAAGAAGAAACAATCTCTTCACTGTTATGGGGAATTTTTTATGATCTATTGTTATGTAAAATCCAAAATAACACTGATTTCAGTTATACTATAGAAGAAGAATGGTCAATCAACTTCCATAAACCTGAAATAAAGGTCAAACTCTCACCAAAACAGACAGTAATAGCTTATATAAATGACACAATATGGATTGCCAAATCCAATAAAGACTTGAAAAGTATTTTGGAAGAAGCAAAAAGTTTTATATAGTAAATAACTTGCAAATTAATGCAACAAAGTCAATTTTTTTCATCATCAACTGAAATCCTCAAGATCCTGGAAGGGTTCAAGTTGAAACAGAAAATATCATGGTTATCAAAATTGATAAAAAGGATCAGACAGATTCCTTGATATTTGGTTGGGATCAAAACAGAAAAGTTGGGATATAATTGATCTAATAAAATAAGAAATCAGGGTGGTAGTTCAGGCAATAACTAAAAAGAAGTTGATAGAAAAACATGATTGTTATTTCATCAATAGAGTACTAATCCCCAGAATAGAATATAGAATGCAACATACACACCTTAATAAGAAGACATGTGATGAACTCACAACTATGTTTAGAAAGGTTTTTAAGAACAAAGCACTAATCTGTGGAACAATATCAAATAGTTGCATCCATAACAAACAAATATATGATCTCAAAAGTATCTAAGAAATATAATTGGAAAGCCATATGTCAGCACTATTCTGTCAGCTTAACAACAGTGAAGCCTCTGGTTTGGCCACTATAATCCGATTGAAGCAGAGCTAAATCAAAAGCTGGAAATCTGAAAATATCTTAGATAATCCTGTGGACTCACATAAGATGATTAAAGGAAATCTGGTAGCTATAATATTGGCTCTGGCCAAAGAATTAAAATTACCTTTCAAAGTTGAAAATGAAAAGAAATCTTTAATTATCTAGGAGATATCTTATCTATTAAGTCAATACTACAAAATAATAAAGAATATAAAAAAGCCATTCCATCACTTTGTAAGCATAAAATCATATTTCTAGATCAAATCATCAATTCAACAATAATAACATTCAAGGAATAGAGAACAATCCAGATTCTTTTTAACAAATGCAAAGGTCTAATCCTTTTTTGGTATAAAAAGATTCAAGAAAAGGTAACAGAGAATCATAACCTTCTAAGAAAGTTATTGCATGGACTAGACTGGACAGATTACAATATTCAAACTGAAGCTTTCTTAGCATATTTAAATAGAAGAAAAACATATTGGGTAGTCTGCTCTAGCTCTCCAATGGATATATTGGGAAAGACATCATTTTTGAACAAAATTCAATTTGCTCCATACCAGTTGACATACAACCCAACTAGTAACCATATTCTACTTCAACCAGATAGATTATCTCAAGTAAAAGAAATAGATATATCACTAGTCCATCTTTTTCCATAGTTAAACAAACATGAAAATCTGAGAAAAGGAAAACAAGTCATCCTAATTGGCAACCCTACAGATTGGCTTATAATTACAAGATAACAAGCAAAAACTCCACTAATGTCTAGACCAGAAATGGAAATCCAGGTAGAAAACTGGGAAGCCATACTAATAAGACAAGCTATCCAATTAAAGGAACATATAGATGAACTTATAGATATCCTGAATTATAATAGAAGGTGTATAGCTACTCAGTTTATTTTTTACACTGATGGTCCATATAAAAAAGGAACAAAATATAGCGAACTTGAAATGGGTTTGGCTTGGGTTCTAGTAGAAAACAATAAAGTTGTAAAGTAATTCTCAGCAGGGGCATTAATATAGCCATCAGCAATCAGGGCAGAGATATTGGTTATTCTAATTGAAATATATACAGCTCCTCGAAATACAACAGTCTTAATATTTTCTGATTGTAATATTGTAGTTAAGATATGGAAGTTCATCAGTTTACAAGTGGTGATATTAACAAGAAGATGAACAAAAATTGTTAATTGGCTATTATGAAGTAAAATTAAAAATCTAGTTAAAAAAAAAATCTCATCTTAGAAATTACAAAGGTTAAAGCCCATGAAATCAATAAGTTCAATAATTAAGTAGATCTACTTGTCAAACAAGCTAGACGTGAAAATCCAATAATCTGGCATCAACTACCAGAGTTAGGAACAGTTCTGACAATAGCTATATAGAGAGAGCATATGATAGACATCAATATTAGAGAATTTGTCAAAACGTTTAACAAGAAAAAGATTGGAAAAGATTGAACAATACAAAAAAGGATTCAAGAACTGTGGATCCAAAATGACAAAAGCATAGACTGGTTAACCTTCTGAAATCAGTTCAATCCATTCAACACCTTCGATACCTCTTTTAAAGATAATAAAGACAAAAGCTTCCTGACTAACCTGATCCATAATGAACTTTCAGTATTACAAATATTAAAGAAAAGAAAACCAGATATTTATATCATATTGACTTGTCCAGTATGTAAACTTCAAGGAGAAAATTAGGACACTTGTTCAAATGTTTAGCTACTAAAGAAATCAGAAAGGATATATGGAGAAAAGTAAAGGATAAAATCAATTGTAGTAAAGAAGTCAAAAATAGAGAAGAAGTTTATCTTGCAACCAATATCTGAACAAGTAAATGGATAAACAAGATTCAGTGATCTGATAGAAGCCTTTTCAATATTATTTGTAGATATATAAAAGAGAACAAAACCACTTCCTTAAAAATTACCTCAAAGTATATCTTAAAATTCCTCGACAGTTACATAAAGCATAATCGATAAGCTTTATTATAAAATGAGAAAAAATTTCAAGAAGAACATATGGAATAGCTGCTGCAAAAAAATAATAGAGTGGAAAAAGAAATAGAATATTATTGAAAAGGACAAATGAATCAAAAGATCTGGGCATAGATCCATCATGCAGGTCACATAAGAACAAGAAGAAAAATCTACACTTGCAGAAGATCTGGGACAAGAAGTCTCTGAAAGAAAGGAAAAAACAAAGTATATAGAAATCATTAAGGATTGGATTTATTATGGAAGGAAATGGTTTGGTTTTTAACTACAGTCAGAATTTAAAATGATTTACAGTAATAACCTGTAGGCAATGATTTTATTGATTAGAATATTTATCCAAGTCAGTAAAGGAGTGAAATATCATTCCCTAAACTGTATCTAGAGAAATAGTTTTTCAACAATGGGTAAGTTAGTATGTGAAAGCCAAAATAATTTATAAATATTTGATATATATGCAATAAAGACAAGCCATGCTAACTTGACTGTAGGTTAAAAAAAAATATTATATTTAAACTTATTAAAACTAAAATATATATTAATACTTATACAATAAAATAACAGATAGTTTAGTTAAACAAATATTTAAATTCTCAATAATCTTATAAAAAAATTTAATTACAAATAAGATCATAATAGAAATAAAATAATAGATATAATTTTAAATAATCTTATTTAGCAATTTATTAAAACAATAAATAATAAGACAATAACTTAAACATGGATTAATTAGAATAAAAAAATTATAAATTAAATTAACAAATTTGAGATTACTAAAATCTGGTATGAAAAATATTAAAAGAAAAATATACTTGAAATATGTTTTTTAAAAACTTACAATAAAAAAAACCTTCTAATCAAAATGATCAATAATAAATCATTTATTTTTATAAATTTAGTAATAAGAAAACTAGACCTAAATAAATAAATAAAACATATAACTTGTGACAAAAAAGAAGTAATCATTATAAAATATTTTTTGAGGTGTTTAAACTTTAAAAAACAAATATAAAAGGCTTGAAAAAATAAATTTAAACAGCAAAAATTTTCGTGCCTATTACAAAATATAAAAAGAAAATTTATAGAAAAAAAGTATAATAGATAAATTGATATATAAATTAATCAAATAGATCTTCAAAACTAATATAGAACTTATAATAAATAATATAAAAGAAAATTAAAAAAAAAATTAAGAAACAAATTCTACAAATACAAAAGAAAGTTTTCAATAGTTTCTTTCTTGTGTTTGAACTGGCCTTTTTTTTTAAAGAAAATTATCAATAAATGAAATTTTCTAGAAAAAATAGGATCAGCGAAGAGTTTTTTGTATAATATGAATTGTATTATATCCGCTAATTAGATGATAATAATAAGATTGTTTTGTATAAAACTTATTTAAAACTTTAATTAAGATTTCTGATTTAATTGATATTCAAATATATTTAAAAAATTCTTAAACCTTTTATTTGCATTTTTTTAAAGATAACAATTTATCGATAAATAGAATCAAACAAGTAAAATAAAAAAAAAAATTATTATTTTCATGTTTTGCTAATGTCTAGATCTTAATCTAATTGAACATTATGAAATATTTTTGAAGAGTTTATACAAACAATTATTTCTAAACAAAAATTAAACTGATAAAGAGAATTCAATTCAATAAAGGCAAGTCTACGCATGAAAAGAAATAAGTCATGAGTAAAGATATGAAATTTATTGGTAGTATAAGTGACATCAATTTCAAATCAATTTATTTTATTATTCATGGTATAATGTGAGTATACTGTGATTTTTTTTACTCGTTAAAGATCTCATGCTAGAATCCCTCTTTTTCAGTTGTCCTCTTCATTGATCTTCTTTAACCTTTCATCGATAAAATTTTCAGAATACTCCCATAACTTACGAGCTAACTCTTCATCTTTTGACTTTTCAGAGGGCTCTTCTAATTTAGCGTAGGGCACGAAATATAATCCGCGTAAATTCTTTTCAACAATTTCCGGGCTGGTTGCACAATAAAGCTGTGTCAATGCACCATTTTCAGGGCTTGTAAAAAATATATTACTAACTGATCGGGTGAGCGGTTTTACCCAAAAACCGTAGTTTTCTTCTACACCACGAAGTAGCTCGGTGTTCACAATGCCTGCAAATTAATTTTTAAAGAACATCGTAAAATACGCCCATCCTAAGTATAAAGGTAAAAGATATTATAATTCTTTGGGTTTGCATACCTGGGTGAACGGAGTTCACATAAACTTCTTTATCTGAAAGTCTCTTGTTAAGTTCCAACGAGAATAAAATATTTGCTAATTTTGATTGGCAATAACGCTCAAGTGGACTATAAGCATTAGGATTGTTTAAATTTTCAAAATCTATCCCGCAAGTTGGTGCGTAATAGTGTCCCTTACTAGAAGTTTTCAAACAAGTTTGTGTGAAAAGACGACGGTACGTAATTTCCTAAAGAAAACGTTTTAGAGGAAATGATTACCTGCTGATGTTGACAATCCGCGAGGGCGCCGATGATTCGATCGTAGGCAAAAGTAATTTCGTAAAATACTAAATTGTTTGTCATAAAGTAATTATTCATACGTACAGTATATGCGTATAACGTAATATAGTGTGTATTACACAAAACTTCGTATAATAACTTACAAAATGTCCAATATGATTGGTCCCAAATTGGTCCATGATGCCATCGACCGTTAAAGAGAACGGACTGGTTCGTTTTTTTTTAAAAGAAAAATGTAAAAAAAAATGAAAAAAAAAGTAAAATAAATTTATTTTATTTTATTTTATTTTTTTTTTGAAATGCGCGAAATAAAAGTAAGTTACGTTGCCATTATTCCCGCATTGTTGATCCTAAAGAAGGAGTAAATTAGAAACGCCATAATATTAAATCACACATCTTTAATTTATCGAAAACTTTAAACGTACAAAATGTGCAAAGGTAATTTTCGATCCAAAAAGAATTCCGCGGCTTTTTTAACAGATTTTAAACTTTGCAAATCCAATGGCAAATATTCCACATTAGCATTGTTTATCTCTTCTTTTATACTTTCTACAGCGGCATCACCTCTCTCTATACTTCGACTCGCGACGAACACATGGGCATTCTTGCGAGCCAGTTCCCTAGCGGTAATAAATCCAATGCCCGTATTAGCGCCGGTTACGATCGCTACCTTTCCAGTGAGGTCAGGGATATTTTTAAATGAGAACGACATGATGTTTTTTTAATAATCGATTATTCTTGTAAAATGGTTTTCAGAGAAATACACCAAATGTGTGCGCTTTTATGTATATTTTATGCGTGAGTACTTATGCGCATACGTCATATCGCCTCTTCCGATGAATTTTATAAGTTCCAGGGAGATTATATCTCTCTTAATCCTAATTAGGATATTAATTTGTGTACGTATGAATAAGGAGAGAATGATTATTGCGTGTAGTTATTGGTTCACTGATTTACAGTAAGCAACTATAATATTTTTTGTATTTTCATAAATTAAAAACTTTTACTTGATTATAAGTTAGCAAATATAGTTTTTTCTTTTTACTTAGCATGTCTAAAAAATAAATTGATAAATGGAACGGTAAAAACCAGTACAAATTATTTTTTATTGGAAAGATAAAATTTTTTAAATTAAAATATTTAATTTTTTTTTAAAAATTTTCTCCTTATAATTATTAAAATATTATAAAAAAAATGTATTAAAATTAATGTTAAAAATGAGATTTAATTCGATTGTTTAAAAATTTTCAATAATTAGAATAAAATAAGCTTGAATAAATAGTTTAAAAATTTTTTGGTTATAATATTTTACTTTTATTTAATATAAATTAATTTATTTAATAAAAATCAAATTATATACTAATTTAATAATTAAATTAAACAATTGAATAATATAACAAATATTTGCATTTAAATCAAATAAATAATAGTTGAAATTAATTTTATAAAATAATATAAATTTAATAAAATATAAAGAATATATTTTAAAAATTTTTAATTTGATAAAATATTTTATTCAAATTAAAATTTTAAAGTAATTATATTAACAATAAATTTATTTGAAATATTATATTTTTTATTTAAAAAAATTTTTAATTATAATATATCAAATAAAAAAATTTTTTTATAAATATATGATTTATAATAAAATATTTTGATTAAATTTATCAAAATATTATTTTTTATTAAATTAAATTATATAAAGATATAATTTCTAATATTATATCAATTTATAATTAAAATATACAGTATAATTACATTATTGAAATAATTATATAAAAAAGGTTTATTTTAATTAATTACAGATATATTATAAAATTTTCTACTTTAATAATTTTCAAAACCTTTAAAAAAATTGTTTAATATAAAATATTTCAATTTAATATTAGCTTAATTAAATAAACAACTTTAAGTAAATTATTTTGAAAGTTATATATAATAATAATAATTAATACTTATTGAAAATTTTATAAAAAAATATTAGAGTATCTAACAATTTTATAAATAGTTTAAACTAGAAATTTTTTTCTATAGACTTACTTAAGTATATTAATTCTTAATTAAAACAAAAAATATATATTTTTGAATTATATAAATATATATAAAATTAATCTATATATATTATAATAGTATAATTAATAATCTTTATTTACAATATATTGATGAATATATTAATAATTAATAGAATATGATATATTGTATGTTTGTTAGCTATAAAAAAGATTTTTATTTGTTAAAAATATTTAAAAAAAATTTTTTTATATAATATAATATACCAATACTTACAGTATATCAATTAAAATATTTTTATTAATAACAATAGAACTATAAATGAAAAATTTTATACTCAATAAAATTACTTGATTTGAATTCAATAAACGAAATTTACAAATAAAAAAAAATATAGAAAATTATTAATTATTATTCAAAACAAATAATAAAATTTTTTCTAAATTATACTAAAGAGTGAATCAATAAATAGGTTAACTGGTTGTATGTACATAAGTATTCCTTTATTAATGTAATTTCCTGGCGGGAAAGTTTACCCACGGTTAAATACGGTAAATTCGTGTTGATTGTGATCGTAAATACTATACTGTATTGGCAGAAAGATTTAAACGTGACGTGTTCTTTGGGAATTAGCCTCGGACTATATAAATTAAGTAATTTTCGTACTGTTTCACATCCGTGTGTAACATGCAGGCTAGATTACCCGATAATCGCTCTAACCAAAAACAGTTCATATACCGAAACGTAACTTGCGTGTTTCATTCATGCAAACAATTTATAACCATTTAACCGATCCGGTTTCACGCTTGAATTCATTTTTTATGCAGAATATTATAATATTTATGGAATAAAAATTATGTAAGTATAAAGCCAAAAGTTTTATGTAATTGATTCTTATTATACAAAATACAACATAAAGTTATTTGCATATACAGTATAAAATTTTTAAGCCAGGTTAATCTATAATTGTTTTTTCTTTTTCTTTTCTGGAAAATTTTTTAAAATAAGATTTTTGTTTCACATCGTTATTATAATTATTATATACTGCTTATATAAAATTTCACAATATAATCTTTTAAAAATTCTTTTAAAATAAATATTAAAATTTTTAGTACATGATTCTAAATTTGCATATTGAGATATATATTATATAAACTTTTTAATTTTTTCAAATACTTTAACTAAATTATAGAAATTTAAGTCTTTTTATTAACATCTGTAATAAGATTATTGTTCAAATTTATTCAAAACAAATAAACTCATAAAGTCATTATTATTTTTAAAGAATATACTCAAAATCCAAAATATCATAAATAAAATAATTATATTATTTATTATTTTATATTTATTTGTTAATATATTTAATAAAAACTTGAATATATTTGCAAATTATTTCAACAATAATTATTAATTATTGGTGATTTGAATATATTTTATTAATAAAATATTAATTATAATTTTGTTTTTTTTTTTTTTTTTAATTTTTTTTATTGTTAAATTTTTTAATAATATTAATTTTAACTTCAATTATATTTTTTT